TTTTACTACCACATATGGCGGTACATCTTCAGAGGATCCCCAGGACTATTTGGACAGCTGTCACGAGGTTCTACGGAACATGGGGATAGTGGAGACCAATGGGGTCGACTTTGCTGATTTTTGTCTGTAAGGTTCCGCCAAGACTTGGTGGAGGGATTATTGTTTGGCTAGGCCAGCTGGATCACCAGCTTTGACTTGGGATCAGTTCTCTCAGCTATTTCTGGTCAGGGGAGTGGTCAGGGGTCTAACAAGAGGCCTCGTCATTCGGGCAGATTCAGTGGTGTCTCGTCTAGAGGCAGGGATTCTTTTGGTAGGTTCCATCCTCCCAGGTCGTTTCATTCAGTACTTTAGGCTTCTCATGGTGCTCCAGGTGGCCGTGGTTCTCATATGCAGTATTCGGATCAACTACCCTACAGTGCATCACCAGCTCCTATCAGTGCATCTCCGCTCCAGAGTTTTCAGGGTGGTTACTCAGGCCCAGGGTTAGTTTCAGGGTCAGCAGTCCCAGCAGCGGAGGACTTGTTATACTTATGGCGATCCGAGGCACATTGCTAGATATTGCCTTCGAGCCTCGAGTAGTTCTTAGCATCAGGGTTCTCGTGCTATGGTTCAGGCACCGGGTGTTCCACAGCCCGCTCGGCCAGCTAGAGGTAGGGGTCAGGCAGCTAGAGGTGGAGGTCGAGGTATTAGAGGTGGAGGTCAGGCCGTTAGAGGTGGAGGTCAAGCCGCTAGAGGTGGAGGACAGCCAGTAGGAGGCCGTCCCGGGGATGTAGTTCAGAGTGGTGGGGCCCAGCCCCGATGTTATGCTTTCCTAGCCAGGCCTAAGGCTGAGGCATCCGATGTCGTTATCACAGGTACGGTTTCAGTATGCACTAGAGATGCTTCAGTTTTATTTGATCCAGGGTCTACATACTCCTATGTGTCATCTTATTTTGCTTCGTACTTGGTTGTGCCTCGTGATTCTTTCAGTGCTCCTGTATATGTGTCCACACCGGTAGGTGATTCTATTGTTGTAGATCGTGTCTATCGCTCGTGTGTGGTTATTATTGGGGGTCTTGAGACCCGTGTAGATCTCTTACTTCTGGATATGGTTGATTTTGACGTCATATTGGGGATGGATTGGCTGTCACCTTATCATGCCATATTTGACTGTCACGCCAAGACCGTGACCTTAGCTTTGCCGGGGTTGCCTCGATTGGAGTGGAGAGGGACTCATGGTCATTCTACCAGTAGGGTTGTTTCTTATATGAAGGCTCGGCGTAAGGTCGAGAAGGGGTGTTTGGCTTACTTAGCATATGTGCGTGATTCTAGTGTTGAGGTTCCTTCCATGAATTCTATGCCTGTTGTTCGTGAGTTTCCAGAGGTATTTCCTGCAAACCTGCCGGGAATGCCACCCGATAGGGATATCGACTTTTGCATTGATTTGGCTTCGGGCACTCAGCCCATTTCTATTTCGCCATATCGTATGGCCCCGCAAGAGTTGAAGGAGTTGAAAGACAGTTGCAGGACTTGATTGATAAGGGCTTCATTAGACCTAGTGTCTCACCCTAAGGTGCGCCGGTATTGTTTGGTAAGAAGAATGATGGATTGAAGAGAATGTGTATTGATTATCGGCAGTTGAACAAGGTCACCATCAAGAACAAGTATCCATTGCCGAGAATTGATGATTTATTTGACCAGCTTCAGGGTGCCAAAGTATTTTCAAAGATTGATTTGAGATCTGGCTACCATCAGTTGAGGATTAGGGCATCCGATGTCCCTAAGACAGCTTTTCGCACTCGGAACGGGCATTACGAGTTTCTAGTGATGTCATTTGGGTTGACAAATACCCCAGAAGAATTCATGGATCTGATGAACCAAGTGTTCAGGCCGTATCTGGATTCCTTTGTGATTGTCTTCATTGACGATATTTTGATCTACTCCCGCAGCCGAGAGGAGCATGAGCAGCATCTTCGAGTTGTTCTTCAGACTCTGAGAGGCAGTCAGTTATATGCTAAGTTTTCGAAGTGCGAGTTTTGGTTGAGTTCAGTTGCATTCTTGGGCCACGTCATATCAGTAGAGGGTATTCAGGTGCATCCGATGAAGATAGAGGCAGTCAAGAACCGGCCTCGACCCACATCAGCTACAAAGATCCGGATTTTCTTGGGTTTGGCGGGTTATTACCGTCGGTTTGTGGAGGGGTTTTCATCTATAGCAGCCCCGATGACCAGGTTGACCCAGAAGGGTGCCCAGCTCAGGTGGTTGGACGAGTGTGAGGCGAGCTATCAGAAGATCAAGACAGTTTTGACTACGGCACCAGTGTTGGTTTTGCCCACAGGTTTAGGGCCATATACCATATATTGTGACGCATCTCGTATTGGACTTGGTGTGGTGTTGATGCAGAATGGCAAGGTTATTGCATATGCTTCACGACAGTTGAAGATTCACAAGAAGAATTATCCAGTTCATGATTTGGAGCTAGCAGCCATTGTTCACGCGTTGAAGATTTGGAGGCATTATTTATATGGCATGTCATGTGATTTGTTCACATCACAAGAGTCTACAGTATTTGCTCAAGCAGAAGGAGCTAAATTTGAGGCAGAGAAGGTGGTTGGAGCTATTGAAAGACTATGATATCACCATCTTGTATCATCCGGGGAAGGCCAATGCGGTGGCCGATGCTTTGAGTAGGAAGTAAGCCAGTATGGGCAGTCTTGGGTATATTCCAGTCGGTGAGAGACCGCTTGCTTGGATGTTCAGGCTTTAGCCAATCAGTTCGTGAGGTTGGATGTCTCTGAGCCCAGCCGTGTTTTAGCTTGCATAGTCGCTCGGTCTTCATTATTTGAGCATATCAGGGATCGGCAGTATGATGACCCTCATTTGCTTGTCCTTAGGGACACAGTGCGACACGGTGGTGCCAAGCAGGTTACAGTTGGAGAGGTGGAGTTTTGAGGATGCAGGGTCGAGTTTGTGTGCCTAATGTGGATGGACTTCGAGAGTTGATTCTAGAGGAGGCCCATAGTTCCCGGTATTCTATTAATCCGAGCGCCGCTAAGATGTATCAGGACTTGCGGCAGCATTATTTGTGGAGGAGGATGAAGAAGGATATTGTTGCCTATGTAGGTTGGTGTTTGAATTGTCAGCAGGTAAAGTACGAGCATCAGAGACCTGGTGGTTTACTTCAGAAGATTGAGATTCCTGAGTGGAAGTGGGAGCGTATCACTATGGACTTCGTTGTTGGACTCCCACGGACTCATAGGAAGTTCGATGCGGATGGGTTATTATTGATAGGCTGACCAAGTCAGCACATTTCATTCCTGTGGCAGTCTCCTATTCTTCAGAGAGGTTAACTGAGATCTATATCGGGGAGATTGTTCGTCTTCATGGTGTGCCCGTGTCTATTATTTCTGACCGGGGTACACAATTTACCTCGCATTTCTGGAGGGCAGTTCAGCGTGAGTTGGGTACCCGGCTCGAGTTGAGCACAGCATTTCATCCTCAGACGGACGGACAGTCCGAGCGTACTATTCAGATTTTGGAGGATATGCTCCGAGCATTTATTATTAACTTTGGAGGTTCGTGGGATCAGTTCTTGCCATTAGCGGAGTTTGCCTACAACAACAGCTATCAGTCGAGCATCCAGATGGCTCCCTATAAGGCATTATATGGTAGACGATATCGATCGCCAGTTGGGTGGTTTGAGCCAGGGGAGGCTCGATTTTTGGGTACGAATTTGGTACAGGATGCCTTGGACAAGGTTAAGATCATTCAGCATAGGCTTCGTACAGCTCAGTCCAGGCAAAAGAGTTATTCGACCGTAAGGTTCGTGATATGGCATTCATGGTCGGATAGCGAGTATTGCTTCGGGTGTCGCCCATGAAGGGTGTGATGAGATTTGGAAAGAAGGGCAAGCTAAGCCCTAGGTTTTATCAGCTTTGCATCCAGTGTTTCATGTGTTCATGCTTCGGACGTATCACGGCGATCCATCCCACGTGTTAGACTTCAGGACTGTCCAGTTGGACAAGGACTTAACCTACGAGGAGGAGCCGGTAGCTATTCTAGACCGGCAGGTTCGTCAGTTTAGATCGAAGAATTTCCCTTCAGTTCATGTGCAGTGGAGAGGTCAACCTGTTGAGGCAGCAACCTGGGAGTCCGAGTCCGATATACGGAGCCGATATCCCCATCTTTTCCCCAACTCAGGTACTTTTCTATGTTCGTACGAGGACGAACAATTGTTTTAGAGGTGGAGAATGTGATGATCCAAAAGGTCATCTCGTGTTTTAGAAGTCAAATTTGTGTTCCGAGGCCTTAAAACCCTCCTTTGTTTCACCTCGATTTGTGTGCACAGTCCGAGCGTATATCCGAAAAGCCCTTAAGTGAAAATTTGAGAAAAATGCTAAGTTTTGCCTTTAAAATGGAATTAAGTTGATTTCGGTCAATATTTTTGTGTAAACGGACCCGGACCCGTGTTCCAACGGTCCCGTAGGGCCTGTAGTAAGATATGGGACTTGGGCGTATGCCCGGAATCGAATTCCGAGATCCCTAACCCGAGAAAGGAATTTTTAAAGAAAGTTGTTTGCTGGAAAATATAAGCATTTGTAGAAATGAAATAGTGTGTAATCCTGATGGTATCGGGCCCGTATTTTGGTTCCGGAGCCCGGTATAGGTTTAAAATAATAATTAAGGCGAATCTGTGAAATTTGGTAAGAATCGGAGTTGATTTGGCATAAATCGGACCCATAGCTGAGAAAATGGAAATTTCAATGTTCTTGAGAATTTTATGAATTTTGGTGCTAAATTCGTAGTTGTTGATGTTATTTTGATGATTTGATTGCACGAGCAAGTCCGTATGATATTTCTAGACTTGCGTGCATGTTTGGTTTGGAGCCCCGAGGGCTCGGGTGAGTTTTGGATAGGCCACGGAGTGAGTTTTGGACTTAGAAAATTTCTGATTTGCATCTGGTATTGTTGGAGGCTCTAATCTTGCAATTGCGAGGTCAGGCTTCGCAATTGCGAGCCTGTCAGGCTTGGTAATTACGAGGGGCTGATCGCAATTGCAATGAATGCCCTGGCCAGCCTTGTTCGCATTTGCGAGCCTTTCTTCGCAAATGCGAAGGTCTCAGTAGTCGCAAGTGCGACCTAATTGACGCAAATGCAAAAGGAGCAGAAATTCCTACGGTTCGCAATTGCGAACCCCTGATCGCAATTGCGATAACTGCGACCTGTAAGTGGGATTTCAGACGGGATTTTCATTATTTTGCAATTATCCCAAACCTAAGCATCCTTAGCCGATTTTTCAAAGACTTAAACTTCTCCAAATCAAAATTAAGTGATTTCTAACTCATCTTCTGCAATCTAATTCATCTTTTTACATAATTTCACTTCAAAATCTAGGGTTTTCCATGGGAAATTGGGTGTTTTTGCGTAGAAGTTAGGATTTTCGAATTTTGGAGATTTGGACCTCAAATTGAGGTCCGATTTCAAAACTAATTGCATATTTGAGTTCGTGGGTGAATGGGTGATCGGGTTTTGGTTCGAACTTCGGGTCTTGACCAAGAGGGCCCGGGGTCGGTTTTTTACTTTTTGGGGAAAATATTGGGAAATCTATTTTCATGCATTAGAATTGGTTTATTTAGCATTTATTGATGTTATTAAGTAAATTATGACTAGATACAAGCGGATTGGAAGTGGAACCGAGAGGTAAAGCGGTAATTGAGGCTTGATTTTATCTGTGGAATTGAGGTAAGTGTTTGGTCTAACCTTAGCTTGAGGGAATAGGAGTTGTGGTCTTAATTGCTACGTGTTAGTGTGAGTACGACGTATAGGTGTGGTGATGAGTACCTATACGTTGGTGTCAAGCATGCCCGTGAGTCTTATATTATGGTTGATGTGACTCTATTGTGTGTTGTCCATGCTTAGGTAGATGATTATCAATGTTGAACATGATTCATGATAATTTCTTGGTAATTGACCATTGTTGAGTATTGGCTCAAGTTGAGACTTGTTTTGTGTAGTAACTGTTGGAACGAGATTGGTTATAACTGAATCCCTTGCCGAGATGTTATTGTTTAGTTGTTGATTCCCTTGCCGAGATGTTATTGTATATATTGTTGATTCCCTTGCCGGGACGTATTTTTTCTATTGTTTGGTGAGGAAGAGTGTAAAGCACGAAGGGTACTGTGAGTGAGTGTTAAAGCATGAAGGGAGATGTTGTGCCGATATTGTGAGTGTTAATGCACGAAGGGTGATGCCGTGCCATGATTATGAGAGTTAAAGCACGAAGGGTGATGCCGTGCCAATATTGTGGGAGTTAATGCACGAAGGGTTATGCCATGCCATGATTATGAGTGTTAATGCACGAAGGGTGATGCGTGCCGATTCTGTTGATTCTTATGGTGAGGACGAGAGTAAAATCACGAAGGGTGATGCCGTGCACGTGTTACTGTTTTTCCTTATTCCTGTTGATATCATTATGGTGTTCTTTATGCTTCTCTACTAAATTTCTGTTAAGTATTTGGTATTCCCCGCACCATACTTCCCTTCCCTTATTTATCTATTATTTCCTGCTTTTATTAGCCGTTTGTATATGATTTAACTGCACAGGTTTATATGGTTGTCGTGTTCTAGCCTCGTCACTACTTCGCCGAATAAAGGCTCGACACTTACCAGTACATAGGGTCGATTGTACTGATACTGCACTCTACACTTTCTGTGCAGATTTCAGTGCTAGACCTCGTGAGTAGATCGTGGGTTGCTGCCTTCAGTCCATAGGAGACCCGAGGTAGATCTGCCGGCGTTCGCAGACTCCGGAGTCCCCTTCCTTATGTTTTTTATATACAGTCTCTTTTCATTTCAAGAACTGTTGTACTTTTCCTTCTAGATCAGTGTTTGTAGAAATTCGTAGATGTTCGTAAAATTGTGACACCAGATTCTTGGGTAGACATGTATTGGAGTATTGATTTTGTTATAACACTTCCGCGCTTTATATCTGTTCAGTTTTAGTTACTGTTTATATCTGTTTGGGTTGATTGCTAATGTGTTAAAATCATAGAAGTTGGCTCGCCTAGCTTGCACGAGTAGGCGCCATCACGACTCCCGAGGGTGAAAAATCTGGGTCGTGACATTAATTCTACTTTCTTTCCAAAATAATTCATATCTACCACAAAACTTTCTTGACCTAAACATGGCAATATCAGTAGCTCCTCCACCATTCGCCATTAATATACCTCCTCTAATTCAATTAAAAGATAATAATAATAACCACTACACAATAACAATTTTATTGACCAACCATAAAAATTTAATCCCATTTCCGACTATTGACCTTCTCCAATTCTCTTTTGAGGTCAAAAATCTAAAATCTTTCATGTCCAATTAAGTTGTCTTTTAGCCGTTGGTAGCGAAGCTCCACTTGTTCTGCTATCATTGGCGACCTGGTAAGAAATAAAGCACAATGATGTTATTCTTATTAGGCACTTAATGAAACAATAGCAGAAACATGTGTATTTAAGTTATTCTTTAGACTAAAAGATTGTGAATTTTGTTACATGCAGGGGGCTCGTGGGTAAAGCAACTGAAGCAATTGCTTTAGGCCTATAATTGTGGGCCCAAAATTTCTTGATAGTTAACAGAGTTATATGTTAATATTTCTTAAAAAAATATTATTGGTAAAGAGTAAAGTACAATTTTCACTAAAAAAAGACATATATAT